AAAAAAAGGAAAACACTCCTGGTCCTGCAAATGAGATTCAAAACCTGGGCCACCTGGGTCACCTCCCAAACGTCCCAGAAAACCAACCAATGCCTTTTCCGCCAAACCCGTCACCAAGCAGATTCACTTTGCGGAAAATCTGTGATGTGATGTGTCTGATCATCTGATCCGATCTATTGAAACATCTACTAAATAAGGATCCTGGACATCCTGCAACTTCACACCCGCCTATATGACCCACCACTGATCCAAGATCCATACTCTCCCCACTATTCACGCCAAGCAGCTCTGCAGCCACATGAATGGGCTGGATGTACTCGCCACCCGCCCTCGTGACTTCGCCACGAGGGGTGTCCACACATGAGAAGCCGTGCTTGATCAGGAACCGCAACAAGACCTTCTGCAATGCAAGGGACAAGAGTGTGTCGTTCTCGGAAGAGAAAGCACCCCTGTAGGGAAGACTCAATGGTTGGTTTCTATACATCTAAATAGGAAAGCAACACCTGACGAATAGGAAAGCATAGGAAAGCAACACTATTAACACGACTATGGTATAATTTTGGGTTTTGATGATGATCCCAGGATCCAGGCTCGAAACAACAAGTACATTACCAGCCGGAGACCCAAAGAGGCTGTGAGATTCGTTGAAAAGGGGACGAATCTGTGAAAACGACTCACAAATGCCATTCTATGCTTGTTGTGAGTCCATGAACGGCCCTGGTGGATATAGTACTTAGTACTTGTTCTTCGACACAAAACTGTTTCTGCAATGATGTCTGGTAAAGGCCATGATGTTGTGCGAAGTCCTTTCCAATGCCTGCTGCACCTACTGGTGCTAGTAAGAAGTGACATTGGCTAGATTTTAGGTTTATGTCATGTTATCTCCTGTATCCAAGTCTTAAACTGTTAAACAAAACTTATTCAATCACTTCCTCCTCATGGCACCCTCCGGTCCACTTCGCGCCAACCATGTCTCCAGTGGTCATCCTCTCTCCCCCTCTAGTAGACCCGAAGAAGGCCGGCCGGCCTGCTGCAGTGCCAAGTCCCTCAAGCTTCCACGGGTCTGCTTCGCCATGGCGCGTCACTACGACACGGACACCGAGCACCGACCGCGGTGTTTGGGGCACAGCACGCGTTTTCTGACCAACTTGGGACGGTGGACACTGCGGGCGATATGGACTCTGAAGAAGGCCTTGCCCTGGACAGTGTCCAGGGAGGGAGAGAGAGGTCTCACTGTTTGAAATCTGCCTGGCTTGGAGGGGTCACTTGCACCTCCCAACAAAAGGAGGGTTTGGAGAGTGAGTTCCCTTTTTCTCTTCCAGGGGCGTCCTCACATCCACATCCTCAAAAGTTGGACCCGACCCCACGCATCCGCAAACACCTTTCTCCAAGGTCTCCAAGGATATCAGGAGTGTTTCCCCGCACCGACGCAGCTCTCGAAGCGTTCGCCTGTGACCAGCGGCCGCAACATGAAGAGCCAGAACACGGAGGAGCATAAGCGGCCTGGGAGCATGGGAGCAGGATGAGGTCTCAACCACTGCGGGGCCCGTCCTTACCCTCTAAGAATGTGCAGTTGGAACCCTGAGGTCACCTTGGGGTCATCTTCAACTTCAACTATAATAGTTATTCCAAAAAAAATGACCCCAACAAGAATAGGTGGGTCACCCATACAGTAGGTGAATCACACTTGAACAAAAAAACATCTACCTGAGAAGCTGCAAAACGAAGCCAGCAGCCGAAAAGGTTGTTGTGCAACTGTCAGGCAAGCCTTGGAGTCGGACGCCCTCTTTAAAATGAGCTCGCGCAGCCGCTTGCGGCCGCGTGTCAAATCTGCTTCATGTCTTGTTCTGCCCACACATAGGTAACCATGCAAAAGCCAAAAAATGATAAAAAAGATGCACTCTTGCATCACCACCCGCTCCAAAATCACTAAAACATCACCTCCAAGAGTTTACGTATACCTTTCTCGGGCCACCCCCCCCCGACCCACGACCTACTAACGTCGTTCGCCAAGCACAGCTCAGCTTTGAGGAGGGCGGCAAGCCCAGGTCCCAGGCCACCTTGCATTTAGCTTCATAAAGATTCACGCGCGCGGACCCAACAACGACTTGCGTTTAGCTCGATAAACGTTCGCGCACCCCCCCCCATCGACCTTGTTGTAGCAGGTCTTTTTAGGAGCGGCCTTATCCAGGTATTATCCTTGATTGAATCTGTTCTTCATTTTTGAGGTTGCCTGAACAATGGTTTTAGGGCAGCAAACGCCTGGCCCCAGGCCACCTTGAATTTCGTGTGAAAAAACATTCTGTTCACACATAGATAATTCCCATCCACATTCAGATGAAGCAAAAGCCAAAAAATGCACATACGATTGGTTGTCATATGATTGGAAGCGCATTCGTTCAAGTAGAAAGTTTTTAGAGCAAAATTTGAGGTGGCCTGGGACCAGAGGCTCGCTGCCCGACACTATATGTTCAGGCCACCTCAAAAATGAAGATATGCGAAGCAAGGGTCCTGAGGTGTCTCTGTGACAAGGCTTTTGTTAAAGCAGATAGTTTTTCAAGCTAAATTCAAGGTGGCCTGAGACCAGGGCTTGCTGCCCTAAAACACTCTGTTCAGGCCACCTTAAAAATGAAGGTCTGCGAAGCGAGAGCAAAGGATGCACATTGTCCTTCTGCTGCTTGAATGTGGCCTTTTGTTTACTTAAAAGTTCAAGACCTCCCAGCTGTTTCCACCTCTTCGCTTCCCAGTCTTCCCAGGGTTCATATAGGGAGCCAGGCCATCTTCAGAATCTTCTGGATTTGAGCTGTTCGAGTTCCTATTGAAGGGTATAGTTGGCGAGTGCGTCACCACCCGCTCCAAAAGCATCAAAGCATCACCTCCCAGGGTTTACGTATATCTTTCTCGAGCCACACATGCACAGCAAACCACCGCTTTGAAGTCTCGTTCGTGCTTTGAACTTGTATAGGTGTGTAAGAGGTATAGCAACATAGCATTTATACGGACCCAGGGTAGCTACAATTCTGTTCCCAGGTATCGCGCGCATGAGGCTTGTGGCTCGAGAAAGATATACGTAAACCCTGGGAGGTGATGCTTTGATGTGGATTGCTGGTGTAGAGGTTATCGAGCGGTTGACGGAAAGGGAACTTGAAGTACTATACCTGGTAGCTGCCCTATAGCTACCCTGGGTATCTATACCTGGCAAGGTGCCAACTACACCTTTCCATTCAGATGATGCAAATGATGCAAATTGCATTTCTTGCATCACCACCCCTCAAAAACATCTACAAATACTCACCCACCTAATTAATTACGCAGTAGACGGTAGACCATCCTAACCTTCTTCAACGATTCAACGAGTAAGTCTGATCATCTATCTGAGCTCCCCCGGCTCCATGGCACTGCGCTGCAGCTCACGGGGCAGATCTGTAGCCGGGGCCGCGTGAGGCAGCGGTCGCCAAAGCGCTGAGGGTGGTACTCGGAGCCGCTGCCTGAGGCAACTCGGGTTTGGCCCAGTATCAAATGGCTTCTGGTGTTGTAAATAGAATAAGAGGCTTAGAGGGCAAAGTCTTGCTCAAATCTGTGCAACTACCCCTTGCAACATCTCATGTCATACATTATGTCCATCAAAATGCACATTACAGGCAACCGCTAAAGTCACCCCATGGTGTCCCATCTTTGTCTTCCCCGCATGGAATTGCAGCAACCAAGAAATCAGCACAAAGTCATCAACAAAAGCATAACGCACATTCACAGTAAAGAGTGCCAGAACTGCATGGAATTGCATCAAGCACACCAAACCTTTAACAAAACAAGGTTCCCAAAAGATCTTGCAGTTCGCTGGTGAACTACAAAGCGTGACGACTTTCCTGGTATGTTCTTCCCAAGCTAATTGCAACCTTGTCCAAAACAACGAGACGACTTTGGCATTTCCCTGTAGTTAATGCATGTTGATGCACTCGACTTCTGGCATCCAAACCACCAAGAAAAACCCTGACATGTGTCTCATACCAAGGTGACCATCCCAAAATTACCCACAACATCCCACAACTACCGCTTCCTTCGGTTTGGTCCATCGCTTCCACCACCCGCTCTACAAACCAACCACTGCCTTTTCACCGCTCGCCACCACTCTCCGCGCCTGCCAAGTTCACCAAAGCGAAGCTGCCCTCCTCTCCGCGGCGCCGCACCACCACCAGCGCCGCCTGCCGCGCGCTGGGCGAAGTGCTGCGGTCGGTGGGCCAGGCTAAGGGCAGCAGTACGCAGCTGCCGGGCTTCAACCTGGGAGAAGATGTTTGGAAGGCGGGGGGAAGACAATCAAATCATATGAGATGATGGGATTAGTGAGAGTGAAGAGGAGTGGAGAAGGTGTTTGTTGTTGTGTTTCTCTGATTTTTCATGTCGGATGCTAGAGGTTTCTCTGTTTTTCTGCACGCCTTGCAGCACGATTGCGCAAAGAGTGAAGAGGAGACAATTGATCTGAGCTGAACATGACTGAGGCATTATGCCACTATTTTCATTATATATTATAAATGCTTCGAGCCATTCAGCTTTGCCAAGATGAGTTGAGGAGTCGATTTCTATGAGCGATACCGAAGAGGAATTTCCCGACCTGTGAAGCTTGGTATTGTGAACGCCCTCAACAGCCCCTCCGAGCCACGCCAGTAGTTGGCGATTCCATCCCTGCAGCATGGCGTGCAGCAGCTGCTCCTGTGACAGTTGGCAACTCAATACGAAATGAAAGTTCTTTAAGATTCCACAATTCAAATGACATGCCACTATAGACTCTAGCATGCACACTGACTCCTTGCTGCTGAACACTCTAAGTTTGACATAACAACTACAATCGAGCCCTATGATGCACAGTCCTCAGGCTGGTGACAAGGCTGCATCATGAATCCCAAGTGCTGGCGACCCAACCACACACGTACTAGTTCGAACATCATCGCTGGACACTGGAAGCTACAAACATTGCCATCATGTTGAAACAATATACCGTTTGTATCAATTCCGCCCAGTACTACCTCCAAAATGCAGAATGTGCAGAGGTTTCTTCAATGCATCCTTCGCAGCACCTGCCTGATGCGGTTTCTCAACAACAACACTGTAGTGGACCGCACCATGCTGAACTCCCTGGCCAGCACTGGCCTTGGGCTGGCATCATGCCTCAATCTCAGATCGGCAGCCTGCCTCCGCATTCTTGCTTTCACATGTCTCAATGTCAACCAGCTCATGGAGAAGATCATAACAGTTTTGTGAACAGCTGCCATATCCCTCCTGCTGAGGACCTTATCTGCTCGATTCAGTTCCCAAGTAACCATGCTGTGGCCTCCTTTGTCTGCCAATGAAAAAGCTGTCTCCCCGGCGCTTGTTTTTGCAAACCTGTCAGCACCTTCCTCAAGCAAGTTGCGCACTGAATGCCAATTACCCCTGCGAGCTGCCAAATGCAACGCCGTCTGACCATCGGCTGTCACTGCATCCTTCTCAGCACCAGCCTTAAGCAGCTTCTTAACACATCCGTGGAGGTCCAGCTCAGCTGCCAAATGCAAAGCTGTCTCCCCGGCTCTTGTCTTTGCATCCTT